TTAGACTACTAGCTTTAACCACTAAATTTGTTATGTTGAAATAAAATTGTTAACTTTATCATTTTTGACACAAATTAACAAAAAGGCTCTCCTTGAGAAAATTTTCCCTGATGGGAAAATGTTAGGGAAAGGTTTTCATCTTTCAGAGATGTCAGAAGAATTTTCCTAAACGAAATGGAAGTTAAGTTGCAACGAAAGGAAATGAAATTATTAACATCATCTTTATCTTTTAGAAAACTTTCCCCCAACCAAACATTGTCAGAGGTGGAAACTTCCCAGATGTCCAACTGGAAACGCCATAACCCATAATCCATAATCCAGGTTCAGATTCAAGAATTCACAACAAATTACCTTCTACATTTACATAAGCCAAGCATAGCGATCGTGATTCGAAATTGTGCGCAATATGCATGCATGCATGCTTGCATAACCACAGTTATAGGCGCATTATCCTAAACAAACTATAAAATTAAAATTGTATTAAAGAGGTACATAACAGAAGGATGGTTTCATACAAACATTAAGCTTGGAAAAATATCAAATCAACTCCCTTATTGTTGAGAAAACAACTAAAATAATAGTACACATCACTGCGGCTAGCAAATTTCCAAGTCCAGAAGAATTATGACGTGAAATACTAAGAAACGATTCTGCAGCTTCATAACTTCATGCATGAATCCCTAAATACTTGTACTTTAAAAGAAGGCGAAATGAAACAACCTCTCTAAACAAACAAAAAAAAAAAAAAAAACAACCAGAGAAGAACACTGAAATCGTGATGATTAGTTAGTTGCATTACTGTTCTTTCTCGTCCTCCTTTTTGGATGCCTCTTTGATCTCATCAGTTCCATCATCCTAGATGTGGGCAACAATAATAGTTACATTTATGAACAAATTTGCAGAAGAAAGGAGAGAGATACAAAATCAAAAGGAAATTTCAAAGTGCCGACCAATACCTGCATATCTGAGGTCCACAAAGTCAGATTATCACGAAGAAGTTGCATTATCAGGGTGCTATCCTTGTATGAATCCTCTCCTAAAGTGTCTAGCTCAGAGATGGCTTCATCAAAAGCCTAATTGAAATAACAGAATAGATTAATTGAATGTGGTTTGGAGATAAAACAATAAAACCCCAAAGCACAAGAGAAAGCAGAGATCATACTCCAAATTTTTTAAAAGAAAAAAAAGACTGTACCAAGGCATTTACCCAACAAATGAAGAAATAAGCTAAAATTACTAAAATTCCAGAGTTCCAACTTCCAATTCTCCTACCTGTTTTGCAAGGTTGCAAGCACGATCAGGAGAATTCAAAATCTCATAGTAAAACACAGAGAAGTTCAGAGCCAATCCTAAACGGATGGGATGAGTTGGAGCCAGTTCAGTGTTTGCAATATCCTGAAAAGAGAAAGCAACAAAAAAGCCACTGATTTTATCTGCCAGTTCTCTGAAATATGGAATACATAATTAGTTTAGTCATTACAATACTGTTGCTGAAACACTCTTTATGTTCTAAAAAACAATATCTTCCATTCAAGGAAAAGAAGAGATAAAACAGAATTATGATATTCAGAAATTTCTTTTAACTTTTGGGGAAAAACTATTTCATCAACACAGGATGGTTAAGTTGGAAAATTAACCAGACACAACACAAAATGATATTCTGCTTTTCATTTTGGTCTTTTGAATCAATAGATAACCCATAAGCCAATTCAGGAAAATTATTCAATTGATTTGTTCTTTTCTTGTTGAATTAGCTTCATGATACCCAAATTAATGCAACCAAACAAAGGCAAACACTTCCTATGCTAATCAGAAACCAAGATTAACAACGTTGAAAAAATATTAGGATATCATCCCATGATCAAATGTAGTTTGACTCCATTTTAAGAATGAAACAGTTTGGGAAAGCCTGAATAATCAATAACGTAGATGGCCAAATCTACCGGAATTAACAAAGAGCTAAGGAATGGCATGAATTTATGGAATAGTTAATACATGTTTCCTAATTGAGACTTAGATGAATTTCAAACCCTAATTAAGAAACCACATTGTACCAAATCAGAGATTAGCACAATAAGAGTAACAAACCTAATAAGAATTATAAAGAAAAAAAACACTAATAATTCAGCAACAAAAATATACACAAACCCTCGATGCACCAAATCAAACTTAAAAAGGAGGAAAAAAGGACGAACCTGAGCAGCTTTATAGGCGGTGAGTGTATTCTCGGCCGCCTGTTTCCTCTCGTCTCCGGTCTTGAACTCAGCCAAGTACCTATGGTAATCTCCCTTCATCTTCAAGTAGAAAACCTTGGAATCCCCGCTCCCTGCGGCTGGCACCAGCTTCTCGTCCAGAAGCCTCAGAATTCCGGCGCAAATATCCGACAACTCAGTCTCGATCTTGGACCTGTACTCCCGGATCGTGGCCACGTGATCTGCGTTCCCGCGGCCTTCCTCCTTCTGCTCGATGGAGGAGACGATGCGCCAGGAGGCACGGCGAGCACCGATCACGTTCTTGTAGGCGACAGAGAGGAGGTTCCGCTCCTCGACAGTGAGCTCCTCGGAGTCCGGGACAGCGGCTACGACGTTCTCCATGAACTTGACCATCTCCTCGTAGCGCTCCGCTTGCTCGGCCAGTTTGGCCAGGTAGACGTTCTCCTCGCGTGGGGAAGAGGCGGCCATGGTGTTGGTAGAGAAGGAAAGGGCTGGATCCGGGTGTGAGAAATGAGCGGCGTAGCGATGGGAATGGGTGTCGCTTTTATAGAACGAGAGGTAAGGGTTGCGGTGTTCTCGCCTTTTTCCAAAAATATTGCCAAATTGGCGTTTTATTATTTATGGTTTTCGTTTATTGGTTTTCACGGTGGCGTAGCAATTTCTTGTTTTAGATGCTGGGGTGCTGCGGCCTGCCTGTGCTGTCGTGTACGGTGGATGTTAACCTTGCTTTTCTTCTTCTCTTTTATTTTATTTTATTTTTTAAATTTCGACCATTAGCTCGTTTAACTAAACAAAAAAACATAATCTTGAATTATACAATTTAAACTTAAATAAACCTTAAGTTTTTTAATATTAATTTTATATTTAGGTTAAAGAGAATGGAAGAGAAGAAAGTTTGTTTCCCTTCATTCTTTTTATTTGAATAGATAATTAAATTTTAAAAAATAAATAAATAATTTTCTCTTTTTCCCTCCTTCAACTTTATTGATAAGCAAATAAAGGATTTTTTCTTCCTCTCCTCACCTCTCTTCTATTCCCTTTAATTTAAGTATACATAAGTGTTATTTTAATTAACAATTTATATTTTACAATTTAATGTAATTTAAATTGTAAAACATGATTCACTTGGATAAACTAAAAAAATTAATAATGTAGCATACTATTATTTGTTTAATTTTTTGTTGAGATCAATAAGCAAACAATTCATTTCAATGGATTGAAGC